ACGCGATGCGCCAACGTGACCCCGCATGTCTCTTCTCGCGACGCGAGATCGTTTGAAAGAGAGAGATCTGAATTTCTTACAAGAATAATGCCTGTAGAGTGCTCTAGTCTGAAGAGTCTCTCAGAACTATTTAAAAAAGACCGAGGAATATTCTTGTTTATTTAAGAAATATTCTTGAGTACTGCTACTACAGATGAGAACGACGAAGACGCCGTGTATCTCAACGAAGACGCCCGCGACACATTCCAAGATAGACGGATGGAGAATCGCGAAGGTGTATCTACGTGCAATTAATACTGCTGGCGCTAACGAACTATTTCTGGCCGAGATGACACGTCACGACGACCGCGATACAATGTAACACGCGACGGGATCCTGATGGAGTGATCTCCGCCGATCGCTCGCCCCCGCACTCGAGTCAGTTTCCGTTGCGCGGAGCCAGAGGAAGGAAATCACGTGCGCACCGAATATAGAAATGTGCTATATTTGGCGCGTATAAATCCTTTTATCACGAGTAGTGACATTGGTTTCGTTCTGAAGCATGCTTCGCCAGCCGATTCTCCCTTCAAATCGCGTGCAGCGATGTCGCGCCGAATTCGAAACACCTCGCTTTCTCTTCGAACGCCCAATGGAAGCGTACAATATATTCGAATCGAATATTTTCTCTCTCTCTCTATCTATCTATCTATCTTTTCTCATGTCTAATCTTACATATATATTCGTCAGTAAAAATGTTTATATAATAAACGCAATATTTCGTCTAATATATTTCAGCTGCTTTTATATCATCGATTCTATCTGCGTAAAGTTATTCGATAACACGATCCTCTAATCGTCTCGAGCGTGTCTCCGACTCTTATTACCTACTTTGATCTCGCCTCGCGTCCTACACGATTAATGCAAACAGACAGAAGTGGAAAAATGTGTTCGTCGCGTGTATGAAATAAATGAACAATTGCGAATAGAATTTCTTTGAGAGTAAGTGCAAAATAAAATATGGAAATACAAGAAGAAATTTCTTTGGAAACTGTGTGAAAGCCTCCTGAAGAGGGGGTAGTTAAAAATCTATACTTCACGAAGAGACGTCCATGAGCTCCCGCTCACTGTTGCATCTTGCACGGAACGTGCATCGCGCGATATTATACACACTCTACTGTTAGTCCCAATCTACAATAGGCGTAGTAAGCTTTAAGAAATTGATCAATCACAGTAGAATTATACAGGAATAATCAATTGTGATTAGTTAATTTCTTACGGCTTAAAGCTTACCATACCTATTGTAGATCGGGACTTGGGCTACTGATACTCGTAAGGGTTGTTTATGGCTCAATATTAATTTTTTTAGACAAATTATAGTACAAATTCAGTCTTTCTCATTTCTATTTTTGTTTTTTTTTTCATTTCTTTTTTTGTGGTTCTGACAGTTTAATATTAAAACGGCAGCACCAAAACAGTTTTTTTCTAAAACAGCACAGTATAACATTTTTATTGATGCTATAAAATGTACTAAATAACGCAATAGGCCCGAATTGATTCTGCTAGCTTAAGTGAGGTTTCTCTCGCTCGCTCGCGACGCGTCCAGCGTTACGTCAGCGACGGGTGTGAGGAGAGTAATGTTACACCGCGAGTGGTCGATCGATACGAATGGTACACGGCGCGACGAACATTCGTCGTTCTCCCTCTGTGTGTCAGTCGCCGCCGTTCTCCGTCGCATTGCCGTTTCCGTACACCCTTGCTCCTCTCTTTCTCTCTCTCTCTTTCTCTCTGTTGTCGTCGCAGCCGCCGCCGCCTCCACCTCCGTCGCTGCCGACACAGCCGCCGCCGCCGCCGATGCGTCCCTCTTCCGCTTTCCCTTTCGACGGCCTCGGACGAGCGAGAACGGAGGGGGTGCTGAAAACCCCTTTAAAGCTTTAACGCGACCGACCCGTCGGTCGTTAGCGCGCGCACGTGGCGATTGCTAGCGAGAGAGACGGAGGAAGAGCGAAGGAGAGCGCGAACGACTTCCATTGGTTCCTTCCGCGTCGATCGCTCGTTAAATCGCGATCACGTCGCCGTGAAATCGTACAGAGACGTTCTCGACGCACGTCGCTGCTGAAACACGGCCGGCTACGTTCGATCTCGGAATTAACACTCGTGGATTATAAAATCTTCCGCGGATTTACTCCCTTCCTCCCCCTCTTGCACTCTCTAAATTTCTTGAAATGGTATCTCGTTCAAAATAAGCGAAAAATGGCGCTATATTTTCTACTGAGAGCGAAAATACTGCCACTCGAAATCGAGGAAGTGAATGTTTCACTCGAGTTTAAAGTGGATTCTGACTCCGCATGAGCGAATGTTTCAATCATTCGGAGTGAATGTGTTCCTGTAACAGCGGAGTACATCAGATTCAGTCTTCTCTTCGATTTCGAGTGTACTCGCTCGACGATTCAGAGTGCAGAAATTGACTCTTTGGCACGTATTAATAGTTATTACTTGAGACTCGTCTCAAGTGAGATACTCGAAACTTTAGTAGTCCGGAAATAGACTATTACGAAAATTATAATAAAACATAGTATAAATGATTATAAGTATAGTAAGAGTTATCATGTTTATTTTTGTCATGTTCTATTATAATTTTCGTAGTAGTGCCAGTCGGACTATTGCATTGTAATTTTTACTACAATATTCTCTCTGCGCAGATATAAATGTCACACATCGTAATTCAACTGAAAAACTTGGACCTAACTCAGAATAGAAACTTGAGAATCTCTTCGCGCAGACAATTCGTGTCGAGAGACTTCATGATATTTGCGTGTGTCTGCGAGACGAGATGCGTCTTTCGCTTGTCGTGTGCTTCTACTTCGGAAAAATAGAGAAACGGTGAGGAAGATATCGCGACTCTGGCGGGTGTTATCCCGCGACGGAAGCATGGCCGTTGTGCAAGATCGATCTATTTCGATGTACTTACTACGACCAGTCGGTCGAACTGACGGAACGGACGAACATACGCGTGCGTGCGTGCGTGCGTGCGGGACCACCGGAGACGCGCGAACGAAAAGGAAAGCGCGGATCGTGAGTGCGTTTGCACGCGACCTCGTTCTTTCGCGGCGCGCGCTCGTCGGCACTCCAAGCTCGTACGACCTTCTCCGTTTTACCTCTCTCGAGGTGCGTACGTATGTACCACACCATTCTGCCAACTGTCACGACGTGACGTTTCCCGACCCGCCTCTTGCGAGCGTGCGTGAGAGCGGATGTCTTAGGTCGAAGCCGCAGTTATTCGAAGGAAATTATTGTCTCTGGGGATGGAGAACGATCGAACGATTTGACTCGAAATTCAAGTTTAACCGTAAACCGCATTTGACCGAGCCGGGGGGACACGGAATCCCCCAGAGAGAGAGAGGGAGGGACTATTTAATTCAGAATTAGTTAATTGGAGAATTGGTTAATTCGAAATGACGCTAATGCGGACGACCTGAGAAAGTTTCGCAGAGTCCAATGTCGTGCAATTTGTTCCCCCTTTTTTTGCCCACAAATTCTCTCCCCGAGAGTCGTAAAAGAGACGTTACGTGACGGAAAATCGTTATTCGCGAGGGAATTTTCCGGGAGACTTCCGAGCAGCTTTTACTTAGCTTCTCACTTTTTTTAATGAGGATGATTCATATGTTTTTATTACATATGCACAATGACGATTTTTGTTTCGACGTATCTCAGGACGGAAACGGTCACGAATTAAATTCCGACTCTGTCCGTCCGATTGTACATGAATAGTCGATGTCACGGAGATTAAATCCTGCCGATATAATGATCTAATTTATATGCAAGTTTATCGTGAATCAAGTGCAACGGCGCGTCACTGATATCTCTATATCCATGTGCAATTGACGCTCCTGATCGAACGCTCGGACGATTTCATTTTCCGCGCTAATTTATTCACGACAGCTCGGCGTGGTGGGTTCACGCCCGCGATCTTCACCTTCGGCGTTTTTGCGAGCGACCGCGGTCACCCCCCCATCCCTCTCTTTTGTGCGCGCAACGCCTTATTGCGACAGTTAGAGAATCGCTTTTTCGAATCATTCATGTCGCTTAAGAGCACAAAATTTTAATTATATAAAACAGCTAAATATTATTATATTATAAAATATTATTATATTATTCTTACATAAAATATTATTCTTGGATATTAAGAGATATTAATATGTAATATCTCAATATATTTTATATAAGATCCAATAATATTTTTTATTAAATATAGATTATTTATTATACTTAAAATATAATTATTATTGTATCTTTACTTGATATTTTTATGACCCTGAACTTTGTATAAATGCGACATTTTAGTCGTTTATATTCTCTTACCATCCATTTCGAAGACGTTTCTGGTAGAAAATGCAATGGAACTATTCATTCAATGCAATTCACTTGTTTAACATGTTGACTGCCGTGGCCACACAGACGGAAAAAAATCATTGATCTAACTAAAATTATAATTATTTTTGGCCCAACCATATTTTTGGGATGCTCCAATACGAAAATGATAGTAGTAACACGAGAATATAAGATTCTTTTACCACTTAACATTCTTAACATTATAGTAGAATTTAATAAAAAAGTCTCTTGACCATAATTTATAGCAATAATTTTTCTGTGATTACAATTACAAATATCGGATATTTTTCTCAGTGCATCATCAATGATTGGCACTGCGATATTGGCGCGTTTTATTAACTCATGTGTAAAAAGAGGCATATTTAATTGCAATTTTAAATCGAATATACAATTAATATCCCTACTGAATCTATGGAATAAAGTGTGCTATACTCGTCTGAAGCGAGTCGCACTTTTGATTATTCGATTTTAAATTGAGCTTCCGAACGAACAATGGAGACAGGCACGGCAGTCAGCATGTCAAACGCGAGTTAACGCTATCGGCAATTTCCCTGCAGCGATACCCACGTTGATAAACGACATCGCTCTATTCCTCGGACACTGGGCTCTAAAATCGATTGTCGCGTTTGCAGATGCTGTCGGTGACACAAGGAATGGAGGTCGGCAGCAGCGGACACGGTGCACACGGTGGTCTCGGCGGTGACCCGTCTGGTGCGGTCGGCGGCGGCGGTG